TTATATTTATATTTATATTTATATTTATATTTATATTTATATTTATACCCATTGATTAGTGTTGCTTTCAATCTTGGCTCCAGAAGCTTCTTCTGAAGTAGAAAGGAGTTAATACAGGATTCATAACTTGTCCAAGTGTTGATAAGTAATCAATGAGTGCTCAGCCCTAAATAGGAGGTCTTCATCAGTCCCCTCCCCTCGCAATGTACAGAGAACAGAAGAGAAGGCATAAAGGATGTAAGAGCTGGAGGATGGAGAAGAGCGGAGTCACGTCCTGTCTTCTACTATGGCATTGCCATTGTACGTAGGAACTCACTGCAACTATGGTTACCTGCGCAAGATTGAGCAAACGTTCCAACAGGGAAGCCCTAACCAGATTCAGGGGGTTAAAAATAAACAAGAAGAGCAAAACAAGAGAGAGAGAGAGAGAGACAGAGACAGAGACAGAGACAGAGAGACAGAGAGAGACAGAGAGAGACAGAGAGAGACAGAGAGAGAGACAGAGAGAGACAGAGAGAGAGAGAGAGCGCATGAATATGAGAGGAAGACATGCTAACAGTGAAGTGTATGGGAGTGGTTGGAGTATGATCAAGACGCACTGTTTACATGTATGACAATATTGAAGAACAAATAATGATACTCTAGTGTTTATGTGGGCATTGTTGCTTCTAGTGGGTATGACAAGGCTTTCAAGAAATGCTCATTCTCTGAGCAAATAATCAACTCAAAACTTTCCAAGAAAGACTTAGTATCAGTAGCCCAGTGCTTTTTGCCACCACACAGTCTATTTTAAGCTTTTCTCTGACTTTAAAAAATCTTGTGCAGCCCAGGCTGGCCTCGAACTCATGATCCTCCTGCCTCTGCCTCCTTCAGCAAATCCTACTGGAGTGCACCACCACCAAACCCAGACACTATTGTGGATGCCAAGAAATGCATACTAACAGGAGCCTGACATAGCTGCCTCCTAAGTGGCTCTGCCAGAGCCTGACAAATACAGAGGCAGATGCTCGCAGCCAACCATAGGACTAAACATGGGGTCCCCAATGGAGGAGTTAGAGAAAGGACTGAAGGCACTGAAGGGGTTTGCAATCCCATAGGAAGAACAATAATATCAACAAATCAGAAACTTCCAGAGCTCCCAGGGACTAAACCAAGGAGTCCACATGGAGCGACCCATGGCTCCAGCAGCATATGTAGCAGAGGATGGCCTTGTCGAGCATCAATGGAAGGAGAGACCCTTGGTCCTGTGAAGGCTCAATGCCCCAGTGTAGGGGAATTTGAGAGCAGGGAGGTGGGAATAGGTGGGTGGGAGGGGGAAGAGCCTCATAGAAGCTGGGGAGGGGGATGGGACAGGAGGTTTTGGCAGAGGTGGGGGGAATGGGAAAGGGGATAACATTTGAAATACAAATTAAGAAGATATCCAATAAAAAATAAAAACTCTTGTGCACAGGTTGGGAAGGTGAATCCAGGAGAATTTGTGAGGAGGAGTTGGGGGAGTGAATAGGATCAAAGTATATTATATGAATATATAAATTTCTTAAAGAATTAATAAAAATATCATATTTTTAAAAACCATGTACCCATGATAGTTCATCTTTTTCATCTAGGTGAATTACATGTAAAATGAGGACACCGTTGGAACACAAATTGTGCCCAATCTTGTAAAGGAACTGAAAGAATGAAAGATAGTAGTTCTATTGCTACCTATGTGCCTTCTGTACAATTTTAATTGGATAAAATGGAGTGAGGTGCACATTCACAGTATGAATGTTGATATAGTATTCAAACTGAATCTATAAAATGATAACTTATGTTCTTAGTTCTTCTATAGTTTATCCACTCAACCAAATAATATTTGTCAAACTCATTCTGGTTGTTTTCCCTTTTGGGGGACAACGCCTCTCTGTGGAGCCCTGGCTAGCTTTGAACTTATGATCCTGCATCCTCAGCCTCCCAAGTTTTGTGGTTACATTGTATGCCAGACTGTTTGTTTAATTCTTGAACAACTTGCCTAAAACTACTTGGGAGTTACTGAGTTCCTTTGTAAAATCTCTGGAGCCAGTCCTTGGTACAGAGCAGGTGATAGCCGTGGTGTATGGAGCACAACTGCATGGCTCTGGCCTAGCAAAGAAACTCCTACCTCCCATGGGAAAGTCAACCACCCAGTGCTGTCCTAACCTGCATCTTTGCCTTAATTGCTTAGAAATCATTAAAAAGCAAGTTTGGCGATCCACAGTCTACTCCGTGTATGCTATGATGCTATAAACTTTGTCCTATGTTGAAAATGATACAGTTTGGAGAATGGCTTTTGAAAGTGTCCAGATCTAATACAAAGGTTTCTCCAGTCCCTTTCTGTACTGCATATACTTTTCCAACTCCTCATCTGGCACCACTCTTCAGATAACTAATTCAGTAATTCTCATGAGTATCCTTCCCTACAGAAACCACTGATCACTGACCAGGACCACCACACTCCCACGGACACCTAGAATCTACCACATGCACCCCTCTAGGAGGGCTGCCCTATGCATGAAAATGTTCTGATTTTTGCAAACTATCTGTTACCTCTGAATGGTTTGAACTTGTTCTCCAGGTCAAATTCTTGTCTTCCTAGTCGAGATAGGTCAATTCGAAGATCAGGACATATGGCATATTCCTCAATTGTTTTGCTGATCTGGTAGATTTTGTCTGAGACGGCATCTGATGCAGGACCTAAAATTTGACATCCGAAATGTGTTTATTTTAAAGCCTCCAGAATTTCTATCAGAGAAACATTACTGGCCTCCTGCAATTAACAAGGAAGGACCCATTTGATCTCTACACAATGAACAAAGATTCCCAGTTCAATGAGACCATGTATCTCCCATGTTGTATTCATCCATTATGGAGGATATTCGATCAGCCCTGCCTGTTCTGTGTAGATGAACAAGCCACATGCCTGCTTTAATCCACTTCTAAGCAATGACACATACACTCTAAAAATAGCTTCGCACCTGTTGGGGAGACCCGGTTATGTAATCAGCTTTGTTCGGGATATGAGACACAAACAGGATATGTATTTGACAGGAGTGGGGGATTCCAGATTTAAACCACAGCTCCCCAGTGCCTCAAAAAGAAAAAAATGATTTCTACTCTGCACTGTTGTCTCATTGATATCTGATGTTACCCAGACAAGTTCATTACTTTTCCAGTTCATACTCGCCATCACAACTTAGTTTTTAAAAATGAGAGGTAGCTAAAACTATGTGATGTATTTCCTCAGAAGGTCAAACTGACAACAGTGATGGAGTGAAAAGAGCTTAAATGAGCTGGGCATGCAGTCAGTAGTTGGTTTCCTCCCCCTTTAGACTCTTGAATCTTCACACAAGCCTAAGTTGTGTTTTGTTTGTTTGGTCTTGGAGAATGTTAAGAATTAAATTTAATTAATTAATTAATTTAATGGTATGGCTGGTCTTAAAGACTCTGTGGATTCGTCTTTTTCCCACCCTTTATCCCCTGGTTTCACCCTCTATCACTAGATAAGAGAAAAATAAGGGGAAAGAAGAGGTGGGGGGAGAGAGAGAGTTAGTTCTGAATCTAATTTCTTTCTTCTTGTTTCTTCATTGAGCATAACTACTAACAAATTGCAATCAACCTCCCTGAATGACCACCAACCCTGTCTGTCTCGCAAGAGCCTAGCATTTATATGCCCACTGAAAAGTTCCCAGAATTCCAAATGTCCCACAATCACAGAAACTATCTGCAGCTGGCAAAACCACAGCTCTGCTAGAGCACAAGGCAAATCACAGTCAGATGCTGTGGAGCACCCCATATCCCACACCTGGGAGTAAAACAAAGACATGTTCTTTTAATGCTTCTGTGTTTTTTAAAGGAATCAAAATTCCAGAATTCTCACTACAGAATGGCCTACAATATAAAAGACAGCTAGGTAGTTTTGTGTGTGAATCATAGTTGCTGACTATATTGTAACTTTCCACTGAACAGAAATTGCTTCTAGATTTACCCCATTTCCCACTCCAAAAAGCTGTACTGTCTAATATGATGACCATCCACCACATTTAGCTACTGAGTACCTGAAAATGTTGCTATTAAACTAAAATTGTAAATTGCTGCAATTGTAAAATGCATATCAAAATTTTAAGTTATTTACAGGTTATATAATGTTTTGTATTTATATACTGAAATATTTTCAAATAGCATATTAAATAAATGTTGCCTAGATGTTTTCTTACATTTTTAATACAAGTATTAGAAAAAAGTTTAATAATATATCCAGTTCATAATACATTCATATTGAAGAATCTGCTTTCTCAGAGTAGGAGGCAAGGCCTATGAAAAGGAATGACAAGGCCCTACCCCAACATGACCAGCCGGAGATCCTCACAGGTTACATCAACAGTTGTCTCACTTGAGGTGAGAACCTCAAGCACACAGAAGAGCTCTGGGAGATGGACCAGTCAATAAGGTGCTTTGTCACACAACTGAGCCTTGTTGTGGATGGGCCTGGTGCTCTTTGTATTCTAATGCTAACTCTGCTCTCCTGGGAGGTGCTGTCTGGAACAAGGAATGTGTCCTGTACCCAGGAATTCTTGTGAACCTTCCCCTAATGAATAAAGGAACCAATCACTGGGTGAGTAAGAGGCGGGACTTCCGAGTTGGATAAGGGAAGAGAGAAGAAGGAAAGCGTGAGGGCATTTTGCATCCCGGAGAGCGCGTGTGAAAGTGTGGCTTGTAGGGTTTCCTGATTCCGTGGCCATCGATCAGCCATCGGAGGAATCAGATTTAATAAGGTTTACAAGATTAAGTTTTAGTTGTTGCGCCCAGAGATTGAGTTACTATTGTTTATAAACAAAGTTTGTGTGGTGTTTCCTTCTCCCGGTTCAATTGAGTCGAAGAGAGATACGGCAGTAAAGCATGAGTGTGCGTGATGTGCCCCACAAGGCCATAGGGGTTTTGAAGCACGGGAATGGCATGGTAGTGACCCACCAGTGGGAACTTGGCAAGCTAGGAGGTGAGATTTTGGAGCTCTGGAGCTCCGGTCGGTGCTGGGCATAGTGTGGGAACATGGCGGCTGAGGCAGGAGCCTGCTGATCATCTTTTTTAGTACCTCCCGCTACAGAGCTTAGATCCTAGCACAATCATAACCTAAAATCCAGGCATAGCAATTCATACCTGTAGCTCTGGTGCAAGAGGACAAGGGCAGGGAAATAGCAGAAGGACTGAGCTCTCACTGGCCAGCTAGGCAAGCCAATCAGTGTATTCCTAGTTCAGTGAGAGAGACCTTGTCTCAAAATGATAAGGCAGACAGTGACTGAGAAAGCCATCTGATGTCAACCTCTGGCCTTCATGTATGCACATAATTATACATATGTATGCGCGCACACACACTCATACATACACACTCCTTACAGTTTTAAAACACAACTTAAGTTTTATTCTTTTTAAGTGTGTGTGTGTGTGTGTGTGTGTGTGTAGATTTGTACACATGAATACAGGTATCCACAGAGGCCAGAGGGTTTGGATCTTCTGGAGCCAGAGTTACAGACAACTGTGAGTCATGTGATGTGGGTGCTGGGAGTCAAACTTGGGTCCTGTGGAAGGGCATGGGGATGCATGCTCTTAACTGTAGGACTATCTCCCTAGGCCTCCTTAACATTCTTTACCCTTCGCCAAAGTTTTTGTAAAGTGAATCTTGTTCTGTGTTTGCATTTTTAGGTTTGCCAGATTAAAGAAGGCTTTATTACACACACACACACACACACACACACACACACACACACGGTTCCAGGTGCCATACTGCATTTATTTGGCTATGTATATCACTTTCATGAAGTCTGAAGTCTAATGCCAAAGCACTCTGGATTCTGAAGCTAAAACAAGTTCTAGCCAGTTACATAATGATCTGTGGCATGTGTTCTACCTAAAGAATGTTCCACATGTCCTGGGAAAGAACATATCCTGCTATTGCAGATGGCAAATTCTATTCATGTCTGTGTATGTTAACATTCAATATGAATGATTTATGAATAGTTTATTTTTTAAGTAATGTACAAAGTGGCCATGGGGAGGAACAATAACAAATTCTTCTTTCAGTTCACTGTTGTGCTGTTTTCCCTGATGCGGGAATAATTCACAAAAATAACTTTTTTAATTAAAATTCAGCTTATGCTCTCATAAAGCAAACATACTTGATATTCTAGATTTAAAAAGATTGAAGAGTTGTAGTGAACAAATGTACAGTTTTAATGTGCATCTTTTATTTTTAAATAAAACAGATGTAAATAATACTTTGACAATCACCACAGAGGAAAATGACTAGAGATTAGGTTTCAGATGGTTTTGAAGGATTGGTGTTATTTTTGTTAGATATGTGTAATCTTCATTGTCAAGTGGACTGGATTTGGAATCACTTAGGAGACACATCTCTTAAGGGTGTTTCTACAAAGGTTTAATTAAAGACGAAAGGTTCACCCCAAGTGCAGGACACCATTCCATGGACCAAGGCCTCACACTGAACAAAGGGGAAATACAAAGAGGCCAACTTTTGCTCCCTTCCCTTCTCCCTCCCCACGCCACTCAGCAGTCTCCCATTCCTCCTCCTGTACACCTTCTCTTCCATGGTGAACTGTGTCCTCTCAGACTGTGAACCAAAATAAACCCTTCTTTCCTGAAGTTCCTTCGTGTCAGGAGTTTGTCACAAGACAAGTAAACAGCACAGCATGTTGCTACAGTTGTGGGAGAATGGGTCCTTCTTAAAAAATGAACACAAAAATATTTAGGTATGGAGTGTCTTCATGTTGAATTTTGCCTTAAAATAACACAGAGGGTGGAAATGATTGCCAAACTGAGAGAAGCACAGGAATGAATAGCTAGAGTCCATTTATAACAGTCTATGCATTTCTATGCATTTAAGAACAAATTAAATGACCCTAAATACAAAGTAAAAGTCTCTACTGAGATCAAGACTTAGGCTAAAAAATCATTTGTCCCTCTCTGAGCAGCCTTGTGGCCTTCCACAGTAACTCATCCTCCTGGAGCTTCAATTCATTTATTTGTAGAATGAAAGGGATGTTTTAAATGGCCCTCAGGGTATGTTCTAACTTTAAAATCCAGAGTCTTCTTGTATCAGATAACTGTCAACTGTCTTTCACTTGGCTTCTCAAACAGGTGATCAAGAGACTAGCCCTGTGCATCCGAGAGGCTGTATGTTACTTCCTTGGAATCACATCGCCTTGGGCATCTCACTGAATTTTTCTGAGCTGATTCCTCTCCACTCTGCCTGCCTACCACCAGAGGGTATGATAATATATGAGAAACAGTATCAGTTAAAGCATATTTGGAACCACATACCTCCATTAGCAACATTAAACTTCACTCCAAACTCTCCCCCTGGTCCTCCAGGACAGTGGCTGGCTGTTAGGATGATCCCACCAGCTGCCTTGATCTTCCTGATAATGCAGGAGACTGCAGGTGTCGACAAGATGCCATTCTGCCCAATAATCAGTCGACCAATCTAAAAAATATGGGGAAAAAATTCAGTCCAAGGTTCATGGAATTGAAGGCATTTCAACAGGAAAGTAGCCCAGGCTCTGTCAAGAGGTAATCAATCTCCTAGCCAAAGGAATTGAGCAGAAGGCTGAAAAAAAAAAGAAGCATTGTCTGTCCCACCCGAAGTCTCCAAGTCCATTTGGGGTACTCATATCTAGTCTTCCACTACCAACTAATAATTATCTAAGGATCACTGGTTTCCCATAATTTGAAATACCTACTTTTGATGACCAACAGGTTTTTGAGCTCACATAAGGTCTTACTTTAGGTCTGACTAAGAAACTATAATGATGAAGGTGTTAGAAATGACAAAGGGGAAAGGATTGCTTCCTACTTCTCTTGCTTCTTCTGTGTGATATTTTACTCTTGATTGCCATTTAGAATCACCATGGAAACAAATCTCCAGGCACATCAATAAGGGATTGTCTAGATTAGGTTCACTGAGGAAGGAAGACCTGCCTTAAACGGCTGTTACGTTCTATGGGCTTGGTCTTAGACTAGATAAAAAGAAGAAAGCCACAGAGGAGAAAAACACATAGCTGTCTTGCTTACTGACTGAGCGTTCAATGTAACCAGTTACATCCTGCTCTTGCTTCCATGCCTTTGAGTTTCTGCTCCAATGTGAGACATAGAAACCAGGACAGCCCTCTGAAATATAGTATGCACAGTCTCTATGTTTCATTGCTTTCTAATTTTCTGATAAATTTTCTATTTCATATATTATCACCTAATACTTTCCATATTATTATTTATTTACCCACTATGCATAACCCCCAAGAATTATTTATTCTAAATAACCTAGAGCAAGCCTGCAGAGACAGTGAGTGTGTAGTAAATATCTGTGAATTGGTTAGCATTAAAACTAATGAACAAGTTCTGTATGAAAAATACACTGGGTAAGAAGAAAGCAGAAAATAACACACTTGATGATGTGGTGGCTACCTTTGTCAACTTGACACCATTAGAGCCACTAGGAAGTCTCATTGAATGGGTACTATCTACATTGAATTGACCTCTGGACATGCCTGTGGGTAACTCTCTTAATTAGCTGATATGGGGAGGCTTAGCCCACTGTAGGCAACACCATTCCCTAGTCAAGGTCCTGAACTGTATAAGAGTGGAAAAACCAAGGTAATCCGAAGCAAGAAAGCATGTATGGATTCATTTCTCTCTGTCCTTGACTGTGGGTAGGGTGTGACTGAAGTTTCTGACTTGACTTCCTCACAGTGATGGGAATGTAGCCTGGAATTGTAAGTTGCTTTTGTCAGGAAATTTTATGACAGTAGAAATGAAACTAGGACACACAGACAGCCAGACTGTCCTGGTGAGGGTAGGGAAGCTTGGACATCAGCTATTCTACTAAAGGGGTGAAAGAAGAAAAACACTAGTCTAAGTAGAGAAGTAAAACTTTGAAAAGCAGAACAGTTGAATAAGTCAAGAGAGCATTGTAGAGGGCTCAGCCACATCTGAGTGTGCTCTCCTCATGGTGCTAGTGAGAGCAGCAGCAAGGTTTGGAATCACAGCTTACGACAAAGAGAGGTTCTCATAAAACTCACTCTGTATTTTCAGTATCAGAACACTTCAGAGCACTGAGGCAGGGAGATCAAAGCCACATCCAAGGTAGCTGCACTGGCAGAGGATGGGATGGTGCTAGGGAACGTTCTCTTCCCCACACTGGACCAGAGCAATGGCAAGGAGTCATTTGTGAGGGTAGTGGAAAGGGGTGCATATACTCAAAATATATTGTATATGTGTGTGAAACATTATAATTAAATACATGTTATATATAATTAATATCCTAATCAACTTTAAAGTGAATAAATGAAAATTAGAAGACACACCCCACTGAGTCAAGAGCTAAGCAGTTCAATAGGCAAAGGCCCCTCCCTCCCTGCATGCTCAATCTGGAAACTCGGGGAAGCATAGGACACTTGAAGGAGTCTTACACACTAAAGTGACAGATAAGCATATCCATGAAAGAGTAAGCCATAGTAGAGCAAGGAATGAAGGAAGACTTGAGAGCTACTAAATACTGCAAAAATGACAAAAGTTTAAGGATCCATATTTTTCAACAATAATTCAGAATTAGGAGTAGTTTTAATTCTCCAATCAAAAGACACAGAGTAGCAGACTCAGTTAAAAATGGAGAAAAGAGGCAGCTGGACATCGTGGATCAATGTTTTTACTCTCAGGAGTCAGGAGGTAGAGAGGAGAGGATCTCTGTGAGTTTGAGGCCAGGGCTGCTCTTCATAAAGACAGGGAACATAGTGAGACTCTACCTCAAAGGAAAAAAACAAACAAACAAAACCCATTTGGTATTTGGTTTTTACAAGCAACGCACAAGCTTGCTAGCAAAGACAGATATAGCCTTCAAGTGAACAGATGGTAAACAGACATCCCAAGCAAATGGAACTAGAAAGCAAGCAGGTATGGCCATACTGATATTAACAACATAGACTTGAAGTCAAAATTAACTGGAAGAGATCAGAAACAGTATAATGATGAATGGGACAATCAACCAAGCAAAAGTGACAGTTACAAAAACAATACACATGAAATTTAGGCATACCCAATTTCATTACAAAAAGACAAATAATAGCACAAATAATACTTGATGTAATAGACCGACCTCAATACAGTGATGATTGGTGGCTTTAATATGCTACTCTCACCAAGAGTGACACTCTCACCAACACCCCCTTAAAAAAAAACCTAAGAAATATCAGAGTTAAGTAACAGAGGTCAAAAAGGCAATAAACTTGTGCGGAATATTTCACCCAAATACTCCAGAATATACATTCTTCTCAGCAGGCCATGGAAACTTATCCAAAGAAGACTGCACTGTACAAAACAAGTCTTAACAAATAAAAGAAATCTGGCTGGGCAGTGGTGGTGCATGCCTTTAATCCCAGCACTTTGGAGGCAAAGGCAGGTGGATTTCTGAGTTCGAGGCCAGCCTGGTCTACAGAGTGAGTTCCAGGACAGCCAGGGCTACACAGAGAAGCCCTGTCTCGAAAAAAAAAAAAGAAAGAAAGAAATCTGAAGTAAGTTCTTCTCACATCTTCTGACAATGAAATACACTAGATCTTAAAGGCAAAAGATCATAAAATGTACAAACTTACCAACTCACAAGTGATCAGAGCACTGAATGATCATCAAGGAAATTATGAGGAGAATTTAAAAATTCCCCAAACCAAAAGAATACAACATATCAGTGCCTATGGTATATGATAAAAGACCTTTTAAGAAGAAAGTTTATATCTATAACTGTCTAGTTTTTAAAAAAATAAGTGTAAGAAGATTAGATAAATAACAGAAAAATTACTTAACAATGAACTCCAAAATCCTAGAAAAACAAGACAAGATAAAATTGGTAGATGGAGAGAAATTATAAAGGTAAGTAGAAATTGAATGATTAACAGAATATACAAAAAGTCAATGAAAGAAAGAGTTATTTCTCTGATGAGATAAATATGATTGCCAAGCTCCTAGCTAAACTAACCCAGAGAGACAGAGCAACAGAGGCAGAAACAGAGAAAATGGCAAATTTAATAAAAGTATTGATGGTAAGGGAGACATTACAGCAAACACCAATAAAGCCCAGATCATTCGAGAATCTATTTATAACATGGTCTAGTAAGTTGGAAGATCTAAAAGAAACTGACAAATTTCCAGATATATATGATCTACCAAAATTAAATCAAAAGGATATAAATAGCACAGTTAGATCTATGAGAGAGAGAGAGAGAGAGAGAGAGAGAGAGAGAGAGAGAGAGAGAGAG